ATCTCTTTTTTGAGCATACCAGAAGAGTAGTGTGTTTCTTGCACTGTACAGCTGGGATTACAAGAAGGAATTTGTGTCAGCCCTTGAAAGCTTCTCTCTCTTTCAATGCACTTGCATTAAAAATATATATATATCTTCCAGGGACAGAGTCAGGCAGTCAGACTGCAAAAGAGCCTGCAAGGAGTGAACCTGTGATTGAACTTAGAGGGTACACACCCACAGCACTGGGAGCAGCAGAATCGTGGCTCCAAGAAATAATGAAAATTCAGGAAGGTTCCCATGCTGTTATTAAAAACAACTACATTTTTTGCTTTGGAAAAGAGGAGTTTGCAGAACTCTCTCGACACCAGCCTTCCAGTGTATGTGTGTCAGAAGAAGTGAGAGATGGACAAGCAAAACTGGAATTTCAGGGCCCTCCTGATGTTTTGATTGATACAGTGCTCACAGCTGAAGAATTACTGCTTCGTGTGCAAGAGAAGGCCATGGCTGAACAAGAGAAACTGCTCTACTCAATGTGTATGTAAAGTAAATAGTGCCTAAACACTAATTAAGTAATTAAGTGCCTAAACAAGGTTAAGTATGAAGCAACATATCTCTGTATTGCTGAGAGGAGACAGAGATACATTCAGTTCACACGCACATACTGAGTATTGCTTTAATTACTGATATCCCTGTACTCTCACCGTGTGAGCCCCTGGAAGACCATTTGTTAGCTGTGGTCTCTCACTTGGCAGCATTCCCAGTAGGGCACAGTTTATACAGGGGCTGGCCATGGTGGATATCCAGCTGTAGTGGAGCTCCCTCCAGGATACCTTCACCCTAAAGCCTGGCCACTGGGGATTTACAAACTTTGCATTTCATTAACACACACCTTTGCTGAGCTCTTGCTGGCTACAGCTGGACCACTGTGTCAGGGCTCAGCAGTGGACTTGTTCTGCAGAGCTGTCATGAACAATTGATAGAACTAATGGCATTACAGAAAGCTACGGAGTGATCAGTTTTAATTTGTGTTTTGATAATCATTCAAGATAGATACCTTTATTTGAAAGCTCAGCTGTGAAGAGGTGTCATGGAGATCATAAATTGCTTTTCTTTAGTTTCTTCTCTCCTGGTTTCTTTATAATACATGCAGAAAAACAGAATACATTTACATACATCTTTGTATGTATCTACTAGTCCCTCTCAATATTAGCCTCTGACATTACTTCAGAGAACATTTAACATTCTTTGTTCCTAATTAAACCACCAGCTAAAGTAGTGGATCTGCCTCCCTTGCCTTTGCTTCAGGCATTACAATATATGAAAATTTTGCTCCCTTATTCTTATCCAGGCCAAGCAGAAGCAGGTCAGCTTTCAGAAGACTTTCACATGTCAAGTACCACGGAGTACATCCCAATTTCACCAGTAGACTGCCACCTCCAGGAGTTTAAAGACAGACAGAAAGAGTTTGAAAAAGCTGGACTTCGTGTTCTCAGGGTAAGGAGGATATTCATGGAGAAACTGTATCTCAGCTCATATATTTGAACTAACATATTTCATATGAGTGTAAAAAATTCAGATTAGCTATTTCAATGCATTGCTTTTAAAAGTTAAGATCAAATCAACCTCATCCTTAAAACAGATCCAGTCTTTAATCTGAATTAATAGTATTTTAAATGCAATGCAAATAGTCACTCAAAAAAATGATTAAATTCTGAGAACTCTTTTTAATTGTATTGTATGTTCTCCCTCATACTTCATGCTTCAAATGCCCCTCTATAGAATTCTAGAGAAATATGAGATTGGTGGGGTAAATTAAGTACAGTATTCCAGGACACTAATTCAGTGTCTATTTTGTTTTTGTGAGCTTAACGCTAAAAATGTGCCAGAGTTCTGATGTGATTGTGTGTTAAAGCTGGAATCATTCTTGGGTATCACTGCTTTACTGAACAGGAGGTGGACTTAATCCCTTCAGCACAACTCAAGGACTGAAAGTCAGTACACCAGGAAATATTCCCAGTGATTTCAGTGGGGGAGGCATGGGCTAGTGGTATGATTCTTTTCTTTGGATCAGTTGCACACTTCAGATACTTCAGTCCACTATGTGGTCAATGCTTATAGGCTAAAGCAAAGGCTAAAGCATTGAAGAACACAGCCTTAATAAAAGCACTTATGGATTCATAATTAGTCTCCATCTGCTTATGCTAAGCTGTTATTTATCTTACAGATTGAAAAGATACATAATCCACTCCTATCTGCTGCATTCCAACAAATGAAAAAAAAAGTAGATGGTAGCTCCAAAGCAACTCAAAAGTTGTACCAGAATGTTCCTCCTGAGTTCTGTGGCTCAGTTTGCCAAACTGGATTTCACAGGATATATTCTCCACCAGAAGGTAAAAACTTCCTTTGGCATCTATAATCAAAATGAACAGTGACTGAATACTAAACTCAGGTTAAAATTAGAAAAAATGGCATTCCTCAGTAAGAACTGTTTTTACTTGTATTTAGATTTGTATGAGCTTACTTTATTATATACAGTAAGGTTTCCTGATACTGTAGAGCCAGCAAGGCTCTAGGAAGATAAGCCTGAATTCAAGCCTAGCCCAAACACTAGACAGAATTATTAGTATGCACGTAATTCCATGTCCAAGTTTTATTTTGTGGTATCACTGTAAAGAAAGTCAGTGTCCTTATGTAACTGCTGCAAACATGCACTCAGCAGCTTGGTGCTCCAAAGCACGTTCAAGGTGCTCCAAAGCACGCTCAAGGTGCTCCAAAGCACGTTCAAGGTGCTCCAAAGCACGTTCAAGGGCACCACAGAACACTGTGGCTGGCAGAGGCTTCTGAGGGTCGTGCAGCCCAGGCCCCTGCTCAGATCAGGTGTGGTCAGAGACAGCAGATGATTTCATTGCTTGAGCTTCCATTTGGAGTAAAGTACACTTGGAGGAAAGTTGTGAATCCATGAAATATTGTAGCAGACAGATGCTTTCATAAAGGGAAAGAATAAGCATTCAGTGCTTCATCCTGCAGTAAGTGAAGTGTGTGATATTTTGCATGCCAATTGCAGAATTGGGATTTCAAGCAATAAACTGTTCAAAAAGTGGAGATTTGCCTTTCTTTGTCTGTGTAATGTCCATGCACATTTCCAAACTTTAAAAGCAGTAAGATGATGGTCTAATTTCTTTGCACTTTTCCACTTGATACATTTTTCATATAAATCTCAGAGCTTTTTTTTTTTTTGTAGTTTACCTTATCAAGATCAGATCTTGCTGCCTTTTATTGTTTATCAGAGCCCCTTGTACATGATGACTGGAGTGTGAGTCATGTATTTATTTCATAGAAATCCTTTAGACCTTGATGATTCAATCACTGCATTGAGAGATAAATCTGAACAGTTAGCAGTTAACTGGAATGGCCATCAGCTGTCATTGCTCATGGTTTCAGTGGGAGGTCAGTGCAAGCATCAGAGGCACTCCATGAAAATTAACCTCCAAAAGGATGGCACACGTGGAGCAGTCACATCACTTGTAACTCAGAATCAAGCAGTCTCTTGGAACTACCACCCTCAAAGAACCAACTGCTAAGTGCTTTCTCTTCTGAATATTTTTCTTTTTCTTTCCAGAACAAAAATATGGAGCTGGCATCTACTTTACAAAGAACCTGAGGCACCTGGCCAAGGATAAAGCTACATGGGGAATGGATTCTAAAATGTATGTGTTTGAGGCTGATGTAGTAACTGGCAAATACACTTCAGGCCAGCCATCTTGTATTATGCCACCAGCCCTGAGTGGCAATGCCTTTACATTTTATGACAGTTTAGTAGATAATTTGCACTATCCTGAGACCTTTGTCATTTTCAATGGTTTTGCAGCCCTTCCACAGTATTTGCTGACTTGTTCCCCACTGTAGCTCCTGGAGGAAACCAGCAGGATCCTCAGTGGGAACAGAGCAGAACTGTAGCTGTGCTGAAGACCCTCTGAGAACAAAGTCTAGCACTAAGATTTAAGAGGATGCTGTGCTTAGTAGTGTTCTATGGTCAGAGTGCTTCCTGAAAAGCTCTCTGAAATATTTGTTACAAAAGAGTATGTTAACATCTTAAAGAGATTAGGACAAAATTACCTGTGAATGGAAGCAGAAAGGAAAGCATTCCAAAGTCCAGTGTAACATTTAACATTAGCATTTAACATTCCTGATCATTGACTTTATTCCTTAACGTGATCTCAGCTTGTGACTAAATGCTTGATGTTTGTGTAGGCTCTCACTCTTCCACTGCGTTTTCTTAATCTGACACATTGCATATATCAGGGAAACACAAGAAATCTTGGTTGTGCCTTTCGAGCCTTAAGTTTTCTTTTGACTTAAGGTAGGAGAATGCTGCAGATGAGAGCTGTTTTCTGCTTAGAGACATGCTATTATATACAGTTACGACAAACATGAGGCAATGCTTCATGATTTCTTACAATGACTGCTGTACATTTTTTATTAGTTACTTCAAGCACTGTAGATGCACATATTCAAAATAAAAAGTATGAATGTCACTATCTGTAACTTGTATTTTTCTATAGTCTTAAGAATGTGATTTGTACTGTACATGAGCTTCAGATTTCTCAGCAGCATTCAATCTCTTTGAAAGGTTATAAAATAGTAGAGAACTGGTTCAAGCTACAGCTTGAAATTATTTTTCAATTAATCTACTTTTACCAACATCTTTTAAAGATTACACTGTCAGCCTTGTAGCCAGGAATCCCCACATTGCTTCTGCAGTGACCTGAAGCAAATACACAGAAAAGCCCAAGAGCTGTTGCAGTAATTCCAGTGTGAAAGGGGATTCAGTCCAGCACTTAGGTACCTGGAAACCTCCTCTAGTAAAGCCTGCTGATCTCTAAAACACAGATGAAATTAGCATTCAATAAAACTTTTCAAAATAATTTGTTAATGGATTCCCAGGATGCTTGTACTGCACCTGCAACTCCTGAGCTAGTAGTTGTAGTGCTAGGAACCACTCACAAGTCCAAGAGAAATTAAGTTATAAAAGTTTAATTCTGAATTCTGAGGTTACGAGTGGAAATATTTTTCAACCATTGCAAAACAAACTTTTAGATTAATATATTCATATTTTGGGTTTTTTAAAAATTATTTTTAAGATTAGCTATGCTTGCTGTTTCAAAGGTAGTTTTGTAGTGTGAGTCTCTAACACAAGAGTTTTGCTCTCAAGTCCAAAGGTTGCTCTTAGAAATTATGCTGCAATTCTGAAAACAGAATTAGTCTATTCCTATTTTAACTATTCCATTAAAGTAATCAACTGTTTTCCATTTCTGTCCCCTTGGTCCTCATATTTCTTGATTCACACATTACTGCCATAAAAACACACAGTTGTACATTTAAGATTTGTTAGCACTGAACAAAGGTAAGTTCTTATATCAGCATGCTCCAAGAGATATTTTTAAAGGGGGTTCATGGCAGGAATTATTTTTTCTTCTGTTTTCTTTTTTGAAAAAACTCAGAGTTTCTGAACTACAGCATCAGTTTCCAGACCACCGAAAGTAATGTTATTTTTGGCACAATGTAACATCTTGCTCCTAGTGGGAATAGAGAACAGTTTTCATAACTCAGTATTAATTTAATACTGTAACACAAGTATTGGTAACTATGTATTTAATTATTAACCTTTTTATTAACTATGTAATTTCCCTGAACTGTATCTGGAAAGGTCCATAGTCAGTTTAATAGAAAAAATAATTCTAGAGAAAGCTTTTAACATCTTACTCCTGTGCCCAGTACAGGCTTTCTCTTCCCTCCACATCCACCTGCAGTTAAGGATTCAGTGTTACTGAATATTTATCTTTTATTTTATTATAGCATGATTTTTCCTGACATAGAATTTCTGTTTCACCAGTGTTCTCCACACGTAGTGATATGCTATATATTCTAAATATATATAGCTTTTTTTAAAAAATGGGTAATATAAGAGGTTGTACATAATTATTTTCATCTGGTCCTCAAAAAGAATAATTTTGTGTTCAGAAACTAGAAAATAAACCCAGCACAAACTAGATGTACCAAGTAGTACATATTAAAATAATTACCACAGTAATTGAAAATTCCTGATCTTAGCCCTACCCTAATCAGTTAAGCAGAGGCTATTCCACAACCTCTGGGATTTCTCTGTTGTCCACAATAAGGGTATGAATAATTCCTTCCTTTCGTTTCCCACTACTGACAGCCTTAATGCAACAGCTGTGGTCAGCAACAGTGAAGTGAGTTTCAGTCCCATCTTCCACAAATTCACCCTGGGAGAGACAAGAATAAAAACAGACACTTGATATTTTAATAAATGAAAAGCTCGAATGCATCAATGTCAAGATCACTTGCAGCTGCCACAGTTACAGCAGCTTTAGGTACCTGTGACAAGGACTGCCTGAGAGCTGAACAAAGCTGCTGCATCTCAGGCAGGGCTCTGTCAAGGTGCCCAGTTAAAGATTGGTGAGTATCAGCTGACAATGAAAATGTCACACAATCAGAAATGGGAAGGTTGGAGTTTGTGAATCAATACTAGTGATTCATGTCAGTAAACAAAACCAGGAAAGGCAGCACCTGCCAAGTTGTGCTGCACAGCCAGTAGATGCCACACAAACCTGTGCTCAAGTGGCAGTGAAAGGTGAAGAATTCAGGATGCCTTCTACAGCAGGGCCCTGACTCAAGTACAACAGTTGTGAATCTTGGACACACATCTCCTGCTGCACTTCTGGAATTTCCTGTTACAGATTTTCCCAGGCATGGCTGTGTTTTTGTCATGATGTTTGTGACAGCAGAACTAATGGGTGCTGCTCCAATGGAAGCACAGTTTGGCACTAAACCTGCACTCACAGCTTGCAAGGACACCTGAGAGTGCTTTCAGTACATTGTAGAAAAGGCTGAGCCATCAGGAGAACAAGTCCTGATTTACTGGAAGATAAGGCTTCTTCCACTGATTACTAAGCAAACATTTGGTGAATCTTTTCATCCTGCTCTCAGGTATAGCAGAACTGTTGATTTTACCATTTGTACTCATCCAGGGGCTTCCTTGTGGCAGCAGTAAAAGCTTTGACACCCCCTGGTGAGAAAGCACATCCTTCAAGGATGGGGAAGCCTGCCTGGTGTGCATATTGAAAATCATCAGAAAACAGAGAGATACCAAAGAGATTAAACCACCTAGCTGTCAGCCTGGTCTGAAAATTAATGCAGATGTGATCAAGTTAAAGATTTGACTTGTTCCAATGAGGCTCTTAAGCCCTAAGTATTAGGAGCATCTCAAAATGGCAAAAAGCATCAGTCATAACAGACTACATGTGTTCAACTTTCAGTGACAACTATCACAAGCAGGTTTGGATGCAGTGGCTCTACACTCTGCATCAAACTCAAATCCTTCCCAGAAGGAAAACCAGAAAGTTTTCTTCCTAAAAGCCCTGCACAACTGACTCAAATTTCTTTTGTTTGTCTGAAAAGGCTAAAGAAAAGCATCATTTATCCTTAACCTGCAGATGTTTGACATATGAACTGAAATACTGCCCATTAGAAAATTCAGTGAAGGTCTTTTGGAACAGACCAGGAGCATCCTGGCTGCCTTGGCCTCTTTGGTAAAGGGAGGTAGTGTGCCCCTCTGGGGCCTATTCTGCCAAACTTTGCTTATCTATCCACAGCCTGGAAGAGCCTTTGCTAAGGACCACATACCGCTGTTTCCATCTTTTGACCATTGCACCACACATCCATGGTGTCCTTTTCTGTGAAGGAAAAGAAAAACAAGGTAGAAAGAGCAAGTTCATTATTTTTGGCCCTACCAACAAGGATCTAGGAATTTTAAAAATCTACTGTTGAATTTTACTTTCAATTCCCAAAAGAAGTTCCAAAGTAGCTGTAATACCTGAGCTACAGGGCTTGCTCTCACACTGCCTAGAGAAGAGGCTCTGTCATCAACTTTTGCTTTGAAGATACATTTTTACCCCTCCCTAGCCCTGGCTATTAACACTGTGTTCTTTTGAATAGTGCCAGAGATACTCTGACAGTCTTAAACTGAAAAAATTTACAAGACAGAAAAGTGAAGTAATTTCTGCTAATTATTTGAGTGAGTGCTGGTTATTCAATAAAGCTCTCTTTTTCCAGGTCAAATTAATTCAAAAGCAGCATTATTTAACATCCATCAAACTGTCTGTATTCTTAATATTTTGAAAGCACCAAGTACCACTTTAAATATCAATCTTAGGGGTTTTTTGAGCTTGAAGCAGAATATTCTTTTACTTCTTCCAGCACATCCTCCTTAAATTACTTTGCTGTAGAATTCCCTTTACTGACACTGTCACTGACACAACATCAGCACAGAGCTGAACCCTGCTTGTCTTTCAGTAAGCATAGTGAGATTAAAATTCTACGAAGACTTAACTGTTTCTGTCTAAAACTGTCTTTCTTCATTGCTCCCCTACATCTAAGGGCAGTTCATTTTGTGCTGAGGTTTAAGACGAAATCATAGTCTGAGATCTCTTGTCTCCAGCTCTAACCATCAGCAATGCCCAAGGGGAAGTTTTCCCACTGGATGCCACAGACAAATTCCTCACAGGATCCTTCCTCCCACCTGCTTCTAATGTAACTGGGAAAGGGAGGGCAGAAGAGAAGCAAGGTATTGCCTTACTATTAAGAAAGTGAAAGAACATCATTGGAAAGTTTTAGTTTAAGTTTGTAGATAAGAAGTGATGCAGAAAAAAGGATGCTCATCAATCTATCAAAAATATGGAATAACATTGTTGCACTTCAGATAAAGACTTCTTGACCATGGCTGATGATTTGTGGAAGGAAAGCCTGGTTACCTGCTGAACAAATTCAGACCCATGTGAGGTTTGATCACAATGCAGGTAAGGTTTCTGTAGCAGGCTGCACCTGGAGAACTGCCTGGCCAGGGCAGCTCTATGGAGGCAGCAGCAGTATTGCCTCCCAACTCCCCCCCACCCAAATCTAGACCATGCTGCTGTAGACTCACACATGTGTAACAAGAGCATTGCTTTTCAGACTGTCTTTGGCATCTCATTCCAAACTTCCACATCCCCCAGGATTTTATACAGCATCAGAGCTACATCAGAACTTTCTCTTAGTTACCAGTTTTTAAATGCACACAGTTTATTCAAAGGCAGTAACATGTAGTCACTCAATGCTTACTTACCTAGGACAATTCTATAGTCTGTACCTGCCAAGTTCAATATCCAAGTATTGGTTGTTTTTAACCTGTTCTCTATATACTGCTTGAGACTCTTTCCATTGATCTCCAAGGTATATTCATATGCAAAGCCACTGACTGCATCAATGTTAATAGCAGCTTTAGTTTTAGTAGCTCCAACAGTGAATGTTTCTTTGCCCACTAATTTAAACATCCATTCTCTTCTTATTTCTTCCTGTAGAAAAAAAACACAAAGAGGGTATTAATTGAAAAACCTGATTGCATGTTTTAATATTAAAAAATTGAACTGGAAGTCAGGAGACAGCTCAGTACTGAACACTTGGGATGAATGCATCCATAGTGCTTTGTATGCACAGAGTGCCTCTGCCCAAGGACAGCAAAGCACTTCATGAATAGTCACACCTTAATTGGAACTGAAAAAAAGAATGATGCATTTTATTAAACTAGGTAATTAACTGAATGTACCTCACTTGCATTATTAGCCTTTTGTTTGTTGTGATGTGTGTTGCAAGGAAGTGCATTTATATAATGTGTAGCACAGTGAATTTTGAGCACATAGCAATTTCACCTTTCCATCAACATAGACAACACGCTTTCCTGAAGTGGTCCCATGTTCAAATTCAATCTTATGAACACCATCACTTAAAGCTACTTCCCAAACAGCCACCAAATCTGTCATCTTCTCTAGGTGGCTGTACCGAGACCTAAGGAGAAACCAACAAAGCAAATTAATTGTTGTTGAAAGTTCAAGTCCCAATGTCTGCAGTTCAAAGCTTTGCTGCTTCTTCTGCTTTTGTATTTGCACTTTTTGCAAATACAAAATGAGACTTGAAAGAATAAGCTTACAGAACTGCTTATATTTTCATGTTTTTCAGACATTCGGATATGACAAAACATCACAAAATATAAACAGTTAAACAGACTCATTTTGACAAACAGTACAAACAGTACAAAGACACAGCTACCCATCTAGCCTCTAAAACTCCAAATTCAGGTGACAATAGGTAACAAAGTTTCATTTAGTCTTAAGATACTCCTGGACAGTTCTGCTATTTCTTAGTAGGCATTAAAATACATTATTTTATTGGTCTCAAAGAAAGTGTTTCAGCTTTTTAGACTTGAAAAAATAGTATGACCAGTTTAGCTATTTGCTGTGTTAATAGATTTGTCTCTAATCTCATAAACACAACCTACACCATTTGGATATGCAACTCTGCACACACAGACACAGGGGAAAGGATCTGGTAAGATATCCTTTTATTCAAGTAATTTTTAAAGTTTAGATACAGTCATAAGTGACCACTGGAACTGTGGATATCTTTCCAAATCTGCTCATATCACAGTTCTGATTTTTTACCTTATTTCATCGTCACAGACAGTAATCTCCTCACCGGATGCCATAGAAGCCAAAAGAGCTTTTAATCCAATTAGCAGCAAGAAAAAATAGAAAAGCAGAATAGTAGGAGAGAAGCGCTGAAGTCTAAAGTTTCATCATTTTCTCCAGCTAAGATAAAGGACATTTAGCATCATTAACTAACATGCAGTGCTGTCATATATATGATAAAATAAAAACACTTAAAATACAACCATCTTTCTCTAAGACAGAAAGGCAAGTATTTTTAAAAATATTGTATTTTACAAAACCAAATAAGCGCGAGTAAAGTTTGTCCTACCTTTACTAGCTCCTCATAACTTTGTCAGTTACTGGATGGAAAAATGGGCTGCCAGAGTTTAGAAATTAACAGTTTGACCAAAGCATGAACCCAATCCAGAGCTGCCCATCTCAGTCCCAGACCATAATGAACATGGGACTGGAAATAGCACAGGCAGTAATTCCACCTCCTCCCTCTTCTAAACCACTGTAGCAGCTTTCAACAAGCACATTAGTAAATTTGACCTGGCAATTCAGCCACAAAATCTATGTGAGCCACAAGGAGCTAATTTCTTAAGTGGATTTTAGACCGCGACGGTGTTTTATAACCACCGGTTTTTAGTGTATTATTTTCACTCAATAATTTCATCATGATCGGTCATGTTTGTACCTATCAATAAACAAACGTGCTAATAATAAATGTGCTAATAAATGAGGGGGTCGTTTTGGCCGCTCCTGAAGTTTCTGGTTCTTGCAAAGGCGGCGTCCCTGGGCACACGGTGGGAGTCGGGCAGGACACATTTCCCTCCTGGGCTCCGGGGAGCAGGCTCGGCACAGACCGGCTCGGCACAAGGGGCGGCCCGGGAGGTGCCCGAAGAGGGTCCCGGACAGCCCGGAGCCCTCATCGCCCGGGCAGGCCGCAATCCTGCGGCGTTGGCTTTAGGCATCACTTAGGATCAATGCTGAAAGGGTTAAGAAGCATCCCAGACCACACAAATTCCTTTTTTATTTTTTCCCCTCAAATCATGGTAATGAAGCGATACACGTTTATTTTGCACCAAGGCCGAACGCAGACTGTAGCCGGGGGTGTTTGCTGAGGCCAGCGATCCCCCCGCATCCCAAGGGAGAGCCGGGCGGTCTCCATGAGGGAGCGGGCGCGGCGTCTGCGGCCCCTGCTCCGAAGCAGGGACACACAGCACCGCTGCACCACCGCCGCTATTCACCGACCAGCTCAGCAGCCCGAGGCGGTGTTTATCCACGGAAGGCTCGTTCTGAAAACTAGGCTGGGATTGCGGCTCCCAGTCCATCCATCTAATCCCGGCAGCGCTCATCGCGGGGTGGCGTCCCGGGAAATGCACGAGCTCCGAAGCCGGCAGATCTGCCCCCACCGTTACCGCCAGCAACGAGCTTTCTCCATTTCTTCCTGTCTTTATTTTTTGTTTTTATTAGCCCCGCGCCCGCCTCAGCTCCCGCCGTGTCCCCGCTCCTACCTCCGCCCGGTCTCCTCCCCTCGCCTCCCGCGCCGCAAAATGGCGGCGCCCGCGCAGCGCCGCCCCGCGGCCCCCCCGCCCGCCGCTCCCGCCGCTCCGCTCCCGCCCGAGCGGCTCCGCGGCCTGAGGAGCGGCCCCTCTCCTGCCCTGCGGCCCTCGCCATGACCGAGGTACTCTGCTGGTCCCGGGTGTCGCTGCTGGGTGGTTCGAGCGGGACAGAACGCCATGGAGCAGTCCGTGAACCGCCAGAGCCGCCACCGCCTCCCTGAGGGCTCCGCTCGCGGCGGGGCCGCTGCGCCCCGGGTGCGTTGGAGGGAGCCGAGGGCCGGTGGTTTGGGGTTCCCAAAGAGGAGAATTTAACTCATTGCGGTATTCTGCTTTCAGTAGGGATCAGGAAACCTGAGCGTGCTGTGTGGTATTAAGTACGCTTTTCCCCAATGTGCTTTGCAGATCCTATTGGAGTTTCTCACAAGCCCTCCTGTAGTGGCCTCTTGGGGGGTTTGGGGTTGGTTTACTTTAATTTGTGGGCATTTGGTACTTTCTGCTGCACAGCTCATGCGAAGAACTCAGGTTTCTGCCTCATTTTCCCTTTCTCCCAATGCAGCAGGAGAAGGCAGAGTGGGAAAACCTAAACAGGATATTAATGCGTCATGGGTTGAAACCTGTGAGTCTTGCTGCCCCCCAAAGCTGCAGAGATACATCAGGTAATGTACATCAGGAAATGTAATTTTTGTATTTGGAAATAGTAACTGTAAGTTCATAAGGCAGCTCCAAAGCTATCACTTCCTAGTGGCAGCAAACAGGTGATCTTCTTTGGCTGTTCAAACCCTTTCATTGTGACTTTGCTTATGTTTTGTGTCTTCAGATATGATTGTCCTAGACCATGAGTCTTCTCGAGGAATAAGGCTTGCGTTAAAAACGCTGGTGGAAGACATTGAGCGACAGCAGAAGGTGATGCAGGGACTTATGGAGGCAAATCGATGTCTTAGGTAAGACAGTGGAAGGAATTTACCTGCAGAGTAAAAGTATTATCAATATTGGAGTATTGCATCTCTGGCCTGGTGGAAATCTTATCTCCCCAGAGGCCTAAGACCTTTTTACTGAGGTTATTGTTCAATATGCAGCAATATTGTCTCAGTTCCTTTCAAGCTCTTCTGTTGTTTCATCTGCCGCTTCTTCTCATATCACTGTATTTCCCATACCATGCCCATGTTGCCAGAGGAGGTTATCAAAGGTCAGCACATAGTGTCAGGTGTCTATAGTGAAATGAGTTTAAGTTAAAAGCAAGGATTCATTTCTTTTTTCAGAGATGTGGTACGACTGGAACAAGGTCGGGCATCTCGGCAAGAGCAACGGGCTAATGATTTGGAAAATGTGGTGAAAAACATTAAGGCCAAAATTTGTCAGCTGGAAGATGAAACAATAGCTAAAGCATGCCAGCAACAGAGCCAAGTCAAGGAACTTCAAAAAGAGCAACAGGCTTCACGGGTAATTCAAATAGTGCTGCCTGAGGATTCAAACTTTTGACTTGTGAAAAGTGTCAAAATATTTATGTTGATCTAAATAAACATGAATCTTGGGTCATAGGGTTAGTACACTGTTTATAGCTAAGTATTTTCAAACTATGCAGAATTTTCTAGAAATAATTTAGAAAATGTCTGTATTCCTCTTCCACCGTCTCTTCAGCACAGCTAAAACCCAAGTGCTCATTTTCCTTGGTTCCAAGTGTGTACCTGGGCTTGTGCAGTACAGTCAGCTTGTGGGTCAGAATAATTCTGTAACAGTCCCATTGCCTGTTCACAGGTGAAATACCAACAGCAGCAGGAAAAGCTGCAAGAACAGCAAGAGATCATTGCCCACTTGCAGAAGGAGCTGAGCAGAGTTGGGAGGGAGGAGCAGCAGCGAGCTGACACTCAAAAGAAAATGTTTTGTCAGTTTTGCAAGAGAGCTCCCAAGTCTGTCCTGGATCAGCGGTGAGTGATTCTCTTCTACTGCTGAATCTCTGCAACATTAAATGAAGAAACAGATTTTAATGTAATGCTTCTTGCTATTTATATGGGGAAAAAATGTAACCTGGAGACTTTAGGAGTACAAGATGAAATACGAATTCTTGTGAAGGTACCTCAGTGCAGTGATATTTTTCTTCTGTGAAACTGTAAGCCAGATAAATCCATGGCAGAAATTAAAAAATTGCCACCCACTGCCCACACTAGATGTCAGCAAAGGGAAGGGAATGATTCACTCTGCCCTGTAGCTGCAGTGTTGGCTGGGATGATCTCATCCTGGGATTCTAACATTTAAAAATGTAAGTTGAAAATGAACAAACCCCCCAGCAAACACCATCCTTAGCCCCCCTAAAAAGAGCCTTTCCAATTTTGGGAAGTGATGTTTGCAACACTGCAGGCTTGCTTGTAAGCTTCCCAGTGCTTTTGGGTAAGTTCCCAAAGTGTCACAAGGCTGTGTCTCTTGCTAGGAGGATTTCCATAGCTCTGCTGCAATCAGGCATTTGCCAGTTCCTAGGCCTCAGGTAGCCATTGTTTTATTGTGCTGGTAAAAATCAGCTCTCTAGGCCTGGCCAGCAATGTTTACCTGGGAAGCTTTTAAGAGAGATTGTGTGTGCTCAGCTTTTTCCTTGAGCCCTCACCTTATCAGAGGAAGGATCACTGAATTTGGTTTCCTGTCCTCCCTCATCTGTCTCTCCAGACCAGACAATCTCAGAGTGCTCAAGACGCTTTATTTTGACTGTGCCTCTCTGTTAATCTTGCTGGGCAACCACAAGCATAAGATGAGGAGGCTGGTGGGCAGATTTAACTTTTTTCTCCTCTTGAATATTTTGCTGTTTCTAAACTAGCACAGATTCAATGTGTCTACTTTTCCATTTTGATAAAGTGTGACCATGGTTGTCTGGTATGAGAGAAACTCCACAGTTTGGAGCAGCCACTTCCAAAGTGCAGTGCAGCTGTGTGAGCTGACCTGTTCCTCTGGGTTGGTCACAGGATGAGTTTTGTGAGAATATCTGAAATTCAAAATGAATTTTTCCTTTCTTCAGGTACCTTTGTCTAATTGACTATTATGAATCTCAGATTAGTCAGATTAAAAAGGAGCTGAGGTAGGTCTCATTGAGTGCCCTGTGGTTCTACTGTTCAAAAATTTTTTTAGCCCTTACTGTTCTTAAATCTTGTAGTGGTAAATATTCTGTGCTCCAGGTATCACTAGCATGTAAGAAATAGCAAAGGGTTATAATAGTCATGGAAATGTAGATTTTTCCAGAGAATAACTGGCAGTCAGGCTAAGCAGCTTCTCAATCAGGAGGCCAGGACAGTTAGGAGGCTTGGGGTATTCAGATACTTGAACTATGTCTTTTTTTCTTGCTTTCTTTCTTTTTCTTCCCCTTTCTCTTTTACCATGGTTCACAGGCAGAATTACTGCATTAGCTGTGCTCAGTTGATTGATCTCCCAAAACTAAAGGTTTTCAGCTCTATCCCTGCATGGCCCAAAGCAACAGATACCTGAGACATTCCATAGTTTGAGATTACTGTTGACAAAACTGAAATGGGATTTGCTTGTACTGGAATTTTGCCTGTGGATAAGTGCATTTCATTAGCATATGAAACAGCTTTCCCAGAAATTACAGCAGGAATCTTAGGGCAGAATATCTTTGGTAGTTTATGGAAACATTATCATACATAACTGCTAACTAAACCAACTTAAATTTTGAGCTAAATGAACTGCACTAAGCTGAACCAATTTATTTTTCCCAATAGGCAACATAAAAAAGATGAAGACGAGGTGCAGAGAGAAGTAAAAACCAAAGAAGAGTTCTTAAATCTAGATGTTACTCCTAATTACAAAGCACTGCTCATGGTATGGAACTGGCAAGAATAAGTCAGTGCAGATCTCTCAATGGTAACCCTTCAAGTGCCACAGAGAAACATAAACATGTTTGTTTTCTGTCTCTTGTTCTTGTCATGTCTTCTGAGCTTGTAACCTGTATGGGCAGAGCCCCATCCTTGTGCAAAGATTCAGCAAAATGTTGTGAGTCTGCTGGGGATTGCATAGACCTCTTTTGGTCACAGGGCTCCACCTGGGGTCTGATGCACCAGACTCCAGGATCTGAGTCCTCATCCATGCTGCTTTGCTGTCCAGGCAACTGGGAACTCTTCGTAACATGCACACACTTTAAATTGTTGAAGCTTGTTCATTATGAAATGAGGGCAATAAAAGCAATAACCCAGTCTCTGTTGCAGTCTTTCCAGAAGCAGCTTACTGAAACAAAAGCCAAGAATGAACAGCTTTTGCTTGAAAATATAAATCTCAAGAAAAACTTGGAAATAAGGTGAGAAAGGATAAGTGGCATTCTTTGCAAGGCCATTTCAGTAGACTTTGCTTTACAAGCACCAGCAATTGTAAAAGTCAAGTGTGAAATCTGTGATCAAAGAAATGAGATATGGCAGCAACAGCCACACTGTTCTCCCTACACTGTTAATAACAGCTGCTAATGGTTAGTTTGCTCTTTATTGCTGTTGTCATGTAGAAATATAGCAGAATTTAATTTCCAGAATGATTTTTTGACACTGGCAAAACTTTTTTCCTTTTTTGCTTGGATGAATTTTATAGATACCTTCCAATGCAAGACATATAACATGGTACTTTTTCTGTCTAGCAGGCCAACTGCACAGGAATTAAAATTTTACAAGCACCAAGTGAAGAAACTACAGAGAGCTTTAAAGAAAACTACCCAGTGAGTATATTCTTTCAGGGACTTTCATGAATCCTCTGGATTTCTGAAGGCAAGGTTACTCTGCAGCCTGTGATGTAGAGAGTAGCTTATATAGCATGTGCCTTATCAGCATTCTTTGGTTATGAGCAGCAAGTGCTGCTGGAGCTCTGCAGCCCTCTATTTCTGAAATGATGGCAGGGTCTCCAAATGGAGGTTTTTTATTTCATTTTGTCTTTCTGGATTTGATTTGAGTTCTTTTGCTGGCAGT